AAACTCTAGCGGTTTTCTCAAGAGGGGTTGCGCCATAGGCTTGAAGAACACAAAACCCTCCTTTGTTAGCAGATCCAAATTCGACTATGCTAATGAAATAATGTTAGATTTATTTTGCTTTATTTTTATCTCAATTATGATAACACGGTAGATCCTGGGCTTAGGGTTAAATTCCTGGTAAATTCCAACAATTGGTATCAGAGCCTTTCCGTGTTGAATTATGAGATAGTCTATAAGAACCATGATGTTTAATGGAAATCAATTTCCTATAATTATATGTTAGAATTTGCTAATTGAAAGCAATTTGCCCATTCGTGGAACATATGCGATGATTTGAATAAATATGTTCTGGTACATGATTACGTAGTCGTGTCTCTATATTGCAATATAAATTGCATTTAACCCAATCCGTACACATTTGTATGTATGTTTGATTATGTGTTAAATGCATTAGTTGCATGTGTTTAATTTACTTTAATTTTATTTATTTATCCATTTATTCTTGGATTTATAAATAATTTTTGGGAATCAGATCAAATTAAATCTGCCTGGATTTTTTTGTGGCCGATTTATCATAACCGATATGATATACATTACGTACTGCTATTTGTTTGCAATTAATACATACACGGTTTGTTTGTTCATTTACATCTGGTGTGTGTTTGTTTATATATTTAATCTTGACGGATTGACATGATATCGAGATGTTTGCATCAGATTTATTTGACTGTAATACAGAAATCACTGCTGTCTTGAGAATACGTTTTTTTTTGCTTCTTAATCTTTCAAAAGAAATTGCTTGGGTTATGAGCATTTCATTATGTTTGAATTGCTTGACACAATGATTCAGTGGAAAATGTATAACCAATGCACTGTAATGAAATATATTTGTGCGGCGTTTGATTGGTTATTCCATTTATTTTATAATCTGTTTTAATGGATAAACATGTTACGTGTGTCGTGCCAATTGTGGAGATATTTGTATTTCCTTCGTTGAATTTAGGATATATATACATATGTAAAGGGTTCAATGATATATTGGTTATTTAATTATAGAATTAATGGATCATTCCAAACCGTTAATGGTTTAATTGGAATTATATATGAGATAATTGTATATGTGCAAATCTGGTTGTTTTCATATTTATTCATTCAGTTATTCATATGTACAGCACGTCCATTGGTCGAGATTGACATTTATTTGATGTACATGCATTCAATTTGATGATTACATAATTTATTAATTAATATGCATATACGTGCAGAATTTGTTTATTTATTCATTAGTATTGAATTATTTTTATGAAATTCAGATTATTTGCACTAATCCAGATAATATTTATTTAATTTATTGTTGATTTTATAAAATCAGATTAATTATGATCCATTTGAGGATTAAATTAAATTTGAAATACAATAGCATATATTTTTGACAGTATTTATTTGTGCAAATTCGACTATAAATATTCATTATATTAAATTTATACTCTCTTTGGATGACATATTTTTGCCTATATAATTCCGGACTACTTGATTATTTTAATAAGTCCAGAAATTAATTGTTGTTGTTATAGTTTTAATATGTATTGGACATACATATATAATTTATTTAAGGTGAATTGAATTAGCAATAAATAATATAATATATTTTATGAATTGGTTGAAACAGTTATGTTGCCAAAGTAGCCTCTGCTCTGTAAATCAGTTTATTTTGTGTATTAGAAAGTTGTGTGTGACATATAAGGCTGCATATTGACCCAAAGGCAACTCAGCCATTAAGTAGTTACATGCATATTTAGTAACATTGAATGTGGTGATGGTAATTTAGTTATTTGTGTGTGAACAATAGATCTATCCAAAGATAGGGTGTTGTTTGACACACTATTGTATTGTCAACATTCGATTGTGAAAACAAGTTTATCACTAGTGAGTCAGTAATTTGTCCAACGACATTTGCTGATGTTGCTCGATAACTTGTGATAAGATTGCTAATTTAATTTAAGAAAATTATAAATTCATTAATAATGCATGCTGCGTTTTGACGGTGAAGATCAAGTATTTGACGTTGCCAAAGTAACCTCTCTTATATGAGATTTTTACTCGATAACGTAAGTGTTTATGTGTATTTTCATTCATGTGATTATTCTTCGGCCCAAAGGCAGTCGGTAATTGACATAATAAAATATACATCTACGATAATATGTATGAGATGGTTATATGGATTTAACTTATGTGAAAAGTAAATCAATCCAAAAATTGGTTACTGTTTGACATTACCTTATTATCCGTATATGATTATTGCAACAAGATGACTGCTAGCAATCAATGTTATTGATCCAAAGATTGATTATTGATGTTGCACTTAGTGTCTTGAGATGAGAATGCATTATTATTGAACTTCATAATGATTTATTTGGTTGCATGACTTGGCATTAATAATAAACCGACTCACTCATACGGCGAAAAACACTGCTCATGAATGACAGTTGTTTGAGAAGTGAGATATGTCCAACGCCTAAGTCTAATTATCATTAATAAAAGCACTCCATAAGTTTTAGGAGTACAATATATGATGATATGGATTCCTTGTCGAAATTAAGAAACACTTTACCAAAAGCGATAAGGCAAAAATGAGTATTCTTCTTAAAAGTCTCATTACCATGAAATACAACGACAAAGAAAATATAAAGGAGTACATCCTAAACATGTCTAGTATTGCTACTAAATTGAGGGCACTTAAGTTAGACATTTCGGAGGACATGTTTGTTCTATTAGTCTTGCTCTTGAAATTAATTTAATTTCAGTTCATAGACACACTTGGGAGTGGATTTTTGTGTAACAACACACATCAGTGTATCTATGCAAGATTATTTTATTGTCGAAATCAATTAATGTTGAAAGATACATCTATATGGGTGACGACAAGAAAGTTCAAGTTGAAGTCATTGACAATTTTAGATTATTATTGAGTACTCGTTATTATTTGAATTTGGATGAGACATTTTTTATGGTACCATCTTCAGTCAAAATTTAATTTCGATCTCTATTTTAAACAAATTCAGTTATTATTATTCATTCGAATATAAAGTTTTGTCTCTTCCAGAATTAAAAATTGATTGGAACTAATGCATCATTTGATAATAATAATCACCATTTACTTAATAGTTTGACTTCATATCATGAATTAGTTATTGAACATATTCATATAACTTCCACGATTACAAATCCCCTTAATTAGTAAAGGGTTTCCACATAAGTTCTATAATGAACATATTGCTCATTTGATAGTGGAACCATATTTCCATACTTCGGTTTAGTAGGAGCTGATTAGTAATGTTCAAATACTATTAAAGTTACTTTGGTTTACACTGCACAATTTAGTATTCAATGTTCAATATTCAGTGTGCAATGTTAAGTTTTAATTCAGTATTTAGTTGTTCTGAATTAAAGTTAAGGTGGATCAGTTGGAAATAGGCATGTTAAGATCACATTACATGAAATTTTCATGCTGTGCATCCGCACTTGATCGAATCTTAGGTTATATTAGTGTTGTGAACGCTGATCGATCCCATTGCGATAAATGCAGTGACGGTCGCTTTGATCCGCATTGATGTGATTTATAGATGAGATTGGTAATATACATTAAAGATCTGATAGCAAATTTTTCATGAGCTCATAAGGTTATTCAGTGTACATTTACCCAAGTGGGAGATTGTTGGATTAAAAATCCATTAGTGGGTTAAATGTAATTATTTGGGCTATCAGTCAGATTAAGCCTATATTAAGTGATCTATAAATTTATTGGGTTTAAATGTATTTAGTAAGTGTGGGCCTCCAATGTGCAGAAACCCGGTAAATTATTAATTGGGTGATGAGGTCAATTGATAATAAGGGATATAAATAGGGTTGTGATCCCAAGTCTAGACGCAACAACCGTTACGTTCCATATCTCATCGTGGGAGTAACGGCAGAAACCCTAGCGGTTTTCTCAAGATGGGTTGCGCCATAGGCTTGAAGAACACAAAAACCTCAATTGTTAGCAGATCCGAATTCGATTATGCTAATGGAACAATGTTAGATTTATTTTGCTTTATTTTTATCTCAATTATGATAACACGGTAGATCCTGGGCTTATGGTTAAATTTCTGGTAAGTTCCAACAGTTTGTTGTAACCGAATATGCAAATCTATAACCGTTATACAACAGAGGGACCATCACGTTTCTTTCTCGTAATATCCGTTGGATATCTTCATATTGGGCCACACTAGTCATCAAGCCCAAACTCAATTGGGCTTCCGTACTTCACTAAATTTTCCTGATTGATCGACCTTCCTGCAAACAACCATCAACTATCTTCATACAATTTTTTTTAAAAAAAAAATATATTAAATTAAATATTTTATATTATTTTAAAAATCAATTTTACATTTAAAATATCATATTAATACTTATTTATATAACATCGCACAATTATTTAAATTTAAAATTTTTACGATTCAAATTTCAATTCAAAATTCAAAGTCCGTGTAAACAAAAATTAAATAGTGATTTAAGTCATAGGGAATAATCAAACAGCACAAAACAAATTTTGATCATCATCATGTCCGCACAACCATGCACGAAGAGACAAGAAAATCATATACTATATAAATTGAAGCAGCGGGTATCTAGAACTGATTTGGTCAAATTAATAGTCGGTATTATTTTAATTTATTTCAATCAATGTATATAATCAAAATATATAACATATAACACTATATAGTATGTTATAAATATGACGTTTGTTACAGGGCTAATTTACAACCAGCTAATTTTTTTATATAATACCGTTCAAATTTTCAAATTCCGGCATCTCAGATCCATCTGTCACACATGATTCATTTAGTGCGATTTGCTTTGTCGGGCCTAATTAGTAGAATATTAAATTCAATCGAGAGTTTACCCAGTGCGCACTTTCTGGTAATGGCGGCGGTTTATTAGGTAAAAAAAAAAGTGCGGGAACGCAAGGAATTAGAGAAATAGATGGTCTCATGCTTATCAAAATATATAACACATAACACTATATAGTATGTTATAAATATGACGTTTGTTACAGGGCTGATTTACAACCAGCTAATTTTTTTCATATAATACCGTTCAAATTTTCAAATCCTGACATCTCAGATCCATCTGTCACACATGATTCATCTAGTGCGATTTGCTTTGTCGGGCCTAATTAGTAGAATATTAAATTCAATCGAGGGTTTACCCAGTGCGCACTTTCTGGTAGTGGTGGCGGTTTATTAGGTAAAAAAAAAAAAAAAAAGTACGGGAACGCAAGGAATTAGAGAAATAGACCAATGGTCTCATGCTTATCACGTGACAGTTGATCGATCTTCTCCACCATCTCCGGCGTCAAGTAGTTCTTCCAATCTCCCACTTTTCCTTTCCTGAAGAAACTGCTGTTGGACAAGTGCCAGAGAGCTCGTTCTCCTGTTTTATTCACCTCGAGATTGCTTAATCTCTCCAAACTGCATCTCCACAGAATCTTCTCTACCTCATCCTCACTCCCCAACGCCTTCCCCATAAACTCCGCCATTTTCATGACCTCCGCTTTCGGATTGTTCTTCAGCTCCTCGTACTTCAGAAACAGGATCTTCTCTGGCCGTTTCCGGCTCTCGATCCAATACTCCGCCACGTGGTCAAAGAAGGACCCGAAAATATGGACACCGGAGCAGAAGGAATCGACGGCCTTTTCAAGAGGGAGTGGTCTCAAATTGGAGCTCCAGAAATGCCACATGGAGATTAGGGTGTCCTTAGGGTTCCGAACAATGTACACAATTTTTGATGAAGACGACGAGCTCTTGATCGAATCGGGGAGGAGAGAGTAGGGGAGGTGCGTGTGAAGCAATCGCGGCGCCGACGCATCGTAGACGTCGATTTTGCAGGGCTTTTTGATGAACTGCTCAACCTCGACGGTGGGGACGAGGAAATGTGGATTCTCGGTGGCGAGGGGGTCATCGGCGCCGCCGTTGCGGCGATTGCAGGAGAGGGCGAGGGACTTGAGCCAGGTGGTGCCGGTTTTCATGGAGGAGGCGAGCAGAACGTCGTCGTTTCGGGCGGTGAAGCTGGACCGGAAGGTCATGGCCGGTTTGACAGATGCAGCTCGGAACCAGAAGCCTTCCCAGCGGACGATGTCCACAGCTTCCCAGAAACGCGCTTTTGGCAATTCCTCGATCATTAATTCCGAACACGATTTCTCCTTTGGCTCACACATCGTTACTTTGGCATATATCATTATCGTATATGTAATGTCTGTGTCAATATATAGCAATTGCTTTCTCAATATTTGAATACTAAAATGTATTGCAATAATCTTCGACTCTGATTATGCTGATCTCAGGATACTGATGTCCGGTCCTATCTTTAGAAAATACTCATTTTTTTGGGTAATAATTATGATTTAATTTAGGTTGGACATAACCATCACAAGAATTAAAAATAGTACCATAATTAATATTATGATTTAATTTAGGTTGGACATAACTATCACAAGAATTAAAAATAGTACCATAATTGAAATAAATAAAAATAATTTAGGTAGGATTCTCACGTCATAAATAAAAATAAAATAAAATAAAATTGAAATAATACCATAATTAATAAAATTCCAACAATAATAAACTCAAATTTTATCCAAATTTTACAGATATTACATTGTAATATTCACGGGCCATATACAAAGTTTGTCCACTTAATATTTTTAAAAGAACAATTTCATATAAATATTATTAGAAAATATAATATACACATATATTAACAAAGTATATATAATATATATTTTTTCAGTTCACAAAAATTAACAATTAAAAGTCTCTTTTTTTTCATATAATTTAATATTCAAATTATTCTACTTAGGACTAATATATATTAGTCCGAACATTTACTTTTTATATATTAATATTTGAATATTAATTATTACATCAAAACGTATTATACATAAAAAAAAAAAAATGACAAAATTACTTTTATTAGTGTATTATAATATTATTATAATGATATTTGTAAACAAATTATACAAATACAAAAATATTTTCAATGTAAAATATAATAACGCAAAATATAAATATAACCCAGATGAATATAATACTATTCATATTCATCGAAAATTTACATTAAAATATGTTTCTAAAATATAAACATATATTTTGATAACGAAAATAACAGAGGCATGGCAATTCCTAGTAATTTTGGGTTTCTTCGTGCTAGATTGGTGGGGCCCAATTTTGAAATGCATTCCAATAGAAGTACCCAATTTAAATCCAGGAGGGCCGGGCAATCCCAATATTTCAAAAACAAAAAAGAAAGTAATAAAAATAAAAATATAAAATTTTGTTTGAGGTTTATATAGTTATCTTTTATATATTTTTATTGAAAAATATATATAATTAGAAGAAATCATATTTTTATTGAGAATAAAAAATTTAAATAGAATTTAATAGTCTCTTTCCTTCACCAAATATATATAGAGAGAGCTTTTCAATTTTAAATATTAAATAATAATACTTTAAATTTATACTCAGTTTCTATTTTGCTGTCATAAGAAAATTAATTATTTATACTTTTTAGTAAAAATTAAACACACCCCTGTAAAATAATTGGATTTTAAGAGTCTATATCTAATAAGAAATACTCTCTTCGTCCAGCTAGAAAGTATACATGTTTCTATTTTGGGACGTTCAATTACAAAGTAAACATTTCATTAAATACTTTACTTTTTTCCACAAATATCCCTACTTTATATCACATCATTACTTTTACACCAAAAAGCAAGGGCAAAAATGTCATTACACTACTTTTATATACCCACTATAATTAAAATACTATTATTTCTTAAATACCGCGCCAAAAGTAATTGTATATTTTTTTTTGTGGACGGAGGGAGTAGTATGGTAATAGACTGATATCACATTTGAGGGAGGGAGTAAAATTTATATATATATATATGAGAATAAAAAATAAAACCAGTTGCAAATAAAGAAAAAAAGTAAGGTGTATTTTATAGGTAGTATTTTTTGTATGTATTTGTTACATTTTTTAAGTCTGACGGATGGGGCTCGAACTGCCCCAAATACACACTATACAAATATATATTAATGTACTAGCTTGTCAACTCGTACTATCCACAGAATTATTATATTTAAGTTTAATTGTTATATTATTTTTATCTAGTTTTATAAATATTTAAAAGAAATAATATATATATTCAATTAAAAAAATATATAAACAATAACACGAGTATGTTTATACTTTATCTTAATATTATATTTCTTCTAGAAATTGTCATTTCTTATATTTTTTTATTAAACTTTTTATTTTATGTACATGAAAGCTATATTATAAATATTCATTCAAATAATATTTTAGCTATATGACTCATTGGCACTCACTATAAAAAAAAAAAAAATTATATATTTTAATTTTAAAAATTAACTTATAAATAATTTCTAATATTATAATATACAATAGAATTAATAAAAACATTAAGTAAATAAAATAAAAGCATCTTATTAAATTAGTATTTAAGTTTACAATGGAAGACGTCAGCAACAATTATCAAAATTCTTTATTTGAAATTAAATATAAAAATTAAATTATATATAAACTTCTTATAAATTTTTTAAATTAAAAAAAAAAATATATTTAAAAATTCGAAACCGACTAAAACTATTTAGAATAATTAAAATAATATAAATAAAATTTTCTAAATAACTTATCTTAAATATTGTGTTCAAGTTCAGTCACAAACAATGATTAAAACGTCCAGACTATGAATGAATATTACCTTATGAACAAAAAAACAAAATAAATTAGACATTAAAAATAAAATAAAACTAAAAAATAAACAATGTTAAAGCCAAAATAAGAAATAAATTAAAATTACAATAAAATGCTATAAGATAATCTAAAAATAAGAATATCTAACAAATAGAGCATTAAGCAAATAAACTATTTTGCGATGAGAAATCGAATACAGATTTTCAATTTATTTTATTGATTAACAATACTCAACTTTGAGATAACTTCAGTCGATAATAATAAAATCTTTGAGCATCCCGACGGGGCAGTCTCCTTAAACAGTGGTGATCTCACATTTTTCAGGTGTATGCAAAAACAGCAAAAAGAAAATAATTTAATAAATAAATAAAATGAAATCTAAAGATTAAAAAAAAATACTCAAACAACTTTGCAAGAAGAATATGCAAAATAATTGTGAAAATGTTTGAAAGAAAAACAAATCCAAAAGAAACAATATAAAAACTAATTTTTGAAGAAAATTTATCTAAATTAAATTGTAAATTATCAAGTTTTTAAAAACTGTATATAAACACTAACACCTAAAATAAGGAATGAAAAGAAACTGTATAAAAATAACTGCATAATAAAAATTGAATATGTTTATTTATTCTTAAAAAAAACTATTATTTGAAAAAACTTTATATCACACATAATTTTGGATATTTATAAATACTAAGATTTATAATTGAAAAGTAAATAATAATTATTTAAAATATTTTTGTTTAAAGTAGAAGACAAAAGCTTAATTATAAAATATTATTAATTAAAAATAAATTTGTTAAAAATTCAAAAATTAATATAAAAGAATAAGTTTTCTAACAAACTAAAAATATTGCAACTATACTTAATATAGACTTTAAAAATTGTAAAAAAATCAAAAATAAAAATAAAAATAAAATTCCAAGAATAGATTGCAGCAATCTCAAACACCCTTTACTCTAATATATATAGCATAGGATAAGATAGGATATGACCGCCATAAGAATAATTAAGACTAATAGAAATTAAATTATGTGTGAATTATTATCATATATATATATATATTATCCGTTCATATCATTTATTTATATTATTTAATCAAGTTAATCATAATATATATTTTATAAACTATTGTCCTGTGTTGATTAGAACATTGCTGACCGTCATACACATATATTATCGGCCTAGTTATGATGTTGACTAAGGATGCGATGATACAACAAATAGTTGTTGAAATAACATTTATTCTATATATCATTAGTATGAACTGTTAGTTATATATTACTCTTTTTGTCTCACTTATCGTATTCATCTTCAAATTTTCGCCAGTCCTATTTATTTTATCATTTTTTGTTTTTTTTTTAAAACTATTATACACTTTAATATCATTTTAAATATTTTAATTTATATTTTTAAATTTTAGTTATACTAATTAATTATCTTAATTTTAATTTAAAATTATTTTTATTAAATTATTTATTTTCACTAATATATTTTTAATTATTTATTAAGTATATTTCTTTTAAATTCTCATATATACGGTAAAAAAAATGTCATATTCAGAACGGATGGTGTACATATTATAATGTATTAATATACGAGGTGTATCGAGATCAATGATGAAATATATTGTGTAAATCATAAGCTATTAAATTACGTATTATATTTGTATTATATTAATATAAACTCCGTATTATCTATCTATTTGATATGTAATGGCTGCGTATATTTAAATCATTGTTAAAGGTGTTCAATGATATCCTCAAACATTATGGCCTGCCTGATGTGTTATACATGTAATTAAAATCTTACTCCAAAGTCAAATGGTATTAATTATTTCAAAGAGGACAATAGAAATATATCATCTCATGCATAACATTAATTAAAATGAAAACAAACATAAGGAATCAAACAACATCAATTTTGAAACCCACATCGCTCGTCTAACGTAACTCGTTTTATCGAGTCTAATTTACAAACTATTAAATTTAATTAAAATTTATTCAGACCGCTCTCAAACAGTAACGAGTGTATATTTTCAGGTCATAGCTAAAAAATAATTTCAAAAGCCACACAACCAAACAACATGGAATCAATTGATCAAAGAAAGAGCCCAATGGTCTCGAGCTTTTCACGCGACATTTGGTCGATCTTCTCCGCCATCTCCAGCGTCAAATAGTTCTTCCAATCCCCGACTTCCCCTTTCCTAAAGAAGCTACTATTCGCCGCGTGCAAGAATAATTTCCCATTCTTATTCACCTCGAGATTCTTCAGCCCCTCCAAATTTCATCTCCAAATAATCTTCTCCACCTCATCTTCACTCCCCAATGGCCGCCATTTTAGATATTTCTACTTTCGTACTGTTCTTCAGCTCCTCGTATTTCATAAACAGGATCTTCTCAGGCTGTTTCCGGCTCTCGATCCAGTACTCCGCCACGTGGTCGAAGAACGAGCTGCAGTTGCAGAAACCGGAGCAGAAGGAATCGACGGCCTTATCGATCGGGATCGGCTTGAGCATGGAGTTGAAAAAATGCCACATGGAGATTAGGATGTCCTTAGGGTTTGGAGCGATGTA